TCGCCAGTTATAGATAACTGGGTGTCTTCTCGGGCCTTTTGGAGTGTTGTGGGTAATAGGTGTGTAGGTTGTTGTTGTTGTTGTTGTAGTTATCGTGGTTGTTAAGGTGTTGGAGTTATTCCGGTGTGTGTTTGGTTTGTTATTACTCTGCTTGTGTGTTCTTTGTTGTTTTATGTTCTTGTATATGTTTGTTGATAGATCCTACATATCATAAAAGTACCTCACATAGTATAAAAGGATATCCAACATAGCACATTAAAGAGAAGGATACCTAACACAGCGCATAAAACAAAACCTACAAAAGGACACCCAACATACCACATAAAAAATTCTACAGAAGGACACCCAACACACCACATAAACAAACCAAATCCCACAAATCCTACAAAAAGGACACCCAACATACCTCATAAAAAATTCTACAGAAGGACACCCAACACACCACATAAACAAACCAAACCCTACAAATCCTACAAAAAAGGACACCGAGCACACCACATAAACCAAATCCTCCAGAACAGAGAAGGACATCTTACACAGACCACAGAAGACGCATCCTACACCCGCCGCCATTTCCAGCACAAATCGGTGACCTGCGAGCTTTCACTGTCTTCAAGGTGTTGTAATTACCTGATTATGTCGACGGTGAGGGAGGGAGGGAGGAGAGGGAGGACGTGGGTGGGGAGAAGGGAGGAGGGAGGTAGGGGGAGATAGGGATGGAGGAGAGGAGGTGGGGGGGAGGATAGGGGAGAGGAGTGGGGGGAGGGATGGAGGGGGAGGAGGGAGGGAGGGAGGGAGGGAGGAGGGAGGGAGGGAGGGAGGGAGGGAGGGAGGGAGGGAGGGAGGGAGGGAGGGAGGGAGGGAGGGAGGAGAGGGAGGGAGGGAGGAGGAGGAGGAGGGTGGGAGCGACGGAGAAGGAGGGAGGAGAGGGAGATAGGGAGAAGAGGGAAGGAAAGGGTGGGAGAGAGGGAGAGGAGAGAATTAAGAAAGAAGATATAGAGGAGGAATGTAAAGCTGATGAGGAGAGGAGGAGAAGGAGAACGAAAGGAGAGGGAAATAAGGAAAGAAGAGAATCGAAGAGGAGAGAGAAAGAGGAGCAAGGGAACAGAGTTAGACGAAAGACAGAACACAAGAAAGAAGAAGAATAAAGAAGGAGGAAGAAGAAGAGAGGAAAAGAAAAAGGAGAGGAGCTCGCGAAGATATTTAGACGAAAGACAGAACAAACGAAATAAGAATAAAGAAGGAAGGAAAGAAGAGAGGAAAAGGCAAAAAAAAAAAAAAAAAAAAAATGCCAGAAATGTGACAATATTGCACCTTTGATCACCATGTTGCACTTTTTGGGTCGTTAACAACTTCCTTCCGAGTGCGTGAGTGCGTGCGCGTGCGTAAGGGGCGTATTTTATTATTCGTTGATTTTTTTTCCTTTCTGTCTATTAATCTATGTCATTTTCATCTTCGATATCATCTTCTTCTTTTTTTCTTTTTCTTCTTTGACTTCTTCTCCTTCTTCTTATTATTATTATCATTATTATCATTCTTTTTTTCTTTCTAATTTTTCGTCTTCTCCTTTTTCTTCTTTTCTTCTTTTTCGTTTATTTCTTCTCTTTCTCCTCCTATTCCTTCTTTGGTTATATCGTTATATTGATATCTTCCTGTTATGAAATGTGATTTTCTCGTGATTAGTAAAGTGACCTTTATAAGCTCTCTCTCTCTCTCTCTCTCTCTCTCTCTCTCTCTCTCTCTCTCTCTCTCTCCTCTCTCCTCTCCCTTCCCTCTCTCTCCCCCTCTCCCTCTCCCTCTCTCTCTCTCTCTCTCTTCTCCTCTCTCTCTCCCCTCCTCTCTCTCTCTCTCTCTCTCTCTCTCTCTCTCTCTCTCTCTCTCTCCTCTCTCTCTCTCTCTCTCTCTCTCTCTCTCTCTCTCTCTCTCTCTCTCTCTCTCTCTCTCCCCTCTCCCTTTCCCTTTCCCTTCCCTCTCCTCCCCTCTCCTCTCTCTCCCGTCTCCCCTCCCTCCCTTCCTTCCTCCCTCCCTAACTCCCTTCCTCACTCCCTCCCTCCCTTCATCCCTTTCTCTCTCTCCTACTTCCTTCCTTCCTTCCTCACTCCTCCCTTTCTCTCTCCTTCTCCCTCTCTCCCTCCTTCCACGAACTCACCGCAACATAAACCTACTTACACGCGTTTCACGGAGCGGCCGCGAAGGTGATCTCCGTCGCAATGGCTTTTCCGAAACCCCAAAATGTGTTACCTGTTTATATGAGGAAGAAGTAAAATAGATAATAAAAAATGTGAATAAATAAATAAAAATTGGGAAATTAGCATAAGTATACTGTAGCGTTACCGATTTTTTTTTTGGGGGGGGGTGAGGGGGGGGTGGGGTTAACGGGGAATGAAATTTGACCTTTGTTGGGGTTTCGTGTTTTGTATTTTTTGAGTTTTTTTTTAGTTCTTCTTTCGTTTCTTTCTTTCTTTTTCTTTTCTTTTCTTTTCTTGGTTTCGTTCTTTCTTTCTGTTTTTTTTTTCTTTCGTTCTTATCTTTTCTTTTCTGTATATATATATATATATATATATATATATATATAATATATATATATATATAAATCTATAATATATATATATATATATATAAGGAAAATGTTATAGACATCCCTAATCCCCCATCCCACCCCTCCCCACCCCTTCCCCCTAAAATATCAATTCCAAGAAAAAAAAAGAAAAAAAAAGGAAAATGTTATGGAGTCATCACACTAATTCCAGGACCAGCCCGAAGGCGCCCGTTTCAGGATCTCGCCACGCCCCTCACGCCCTCACGCCCCCAGGAAGCCGGAACTCGGAAAGGCTTGTAATCCATTTTCTTTTTCTTCGATTGGTTTTTTTTTTTTTTTTATCTTGTCTAATATCTATTTTTTTCTTCGTTTGATATTTTTTAATCTATTTTTTTATTCTAAATGTGTTACTTTTTCTTCTTTATTTTTCTCCTTTTTTATTTGTTTTACCTTTGCACTCTGTCTCACTCTCTTCTTCTCTCTTCTCCTCTTTCTTCTTTCTCTCTTCTCTCCCTTCCTCCTCCTTCTCCTTCTCCTTCTCCTCCTCCCTCCTCTTCCTCCTCCTCCCCTTACTACTCCTCCTCCCCTTCCTCCTTTTTCTTCTCCTTCTTCTCCTGATTCAAAATACCCACGTCAAGATTAGCAGTGTGTCGCTGTTGCAGATTCAAGTCTTGCGCATTTTTTTTCTCTCTCTCTCTCTCTCGTTTCGTATTTTTGAAAAATGATGTCGAAAACGGGTATTGACAGATGATACCAGTGCGGTGTGTCTGGCTGGTATACAGTATGTCTGTGTTTAAGTCTGTGTCTGATTTTCTCTGTTTTTGTCTGTGTCTGGAGAGGGAAAGGGAAATGGAGAGGGAGAGGGAGAAGGAAAGGGTGAGGAAGAGGGAGAGAGAAAGGGACAGAGAGTGGGAGAGGGAGAGGGGAGGGGGAGATAGAGATAGATAGAAAGAGAGATATAGATAGATAAAGAGAGAGAGAGAGAGAGGGAGAGACAGACAGAGAGAGACAGACAGAGAAAGAAAGAAAGAGAGAAGAGTAGAGAGAAGAAGAGAAGAAAGAGAAGAGAGAGAGAGAGAGAGAGGAGAGAGAGAGAGAGAGAGAGAGAGAGAGAGAGGAGAGAGAGAGAGAGAGAGAAGAGAGAGAGAGAGAGAGAGAGAGAGAGAGAGAAGAGGAAGACAGAGAAGAGAGAATAGATAGAAGAGAGAGAGAGAGAGAGAGAGAGAGAGAGAGAGAGAGAGAGAGAGAGAGAGAGAGAAGAGAGAGAAGAGAGAGAGAGAGAGAAGAGAAGAAGAATGAAGAAAGAGAGAGAGAGATACAAACAGAGGATTACCTTCTTATCAAAACACTCCATCAGATACCTGTATACGGGAACCTTTTAGCATCAATTAAACCACATCAAATGCCTTTTACACCTCTATAAACCGGCCATATCAAAGGCTGACCTCTTTCTTGCTGCTCCTCTTCCTCCTTCTCCCTCTCTTTTTCCTTCTTATCCTCTCCCTCTCTCCATCTGTCTCTCTCTCTTTTTTTTTCTTTCTCTCTCTCTCTCTCTTTCTCTCTCTCTTACTCCCTCTCCCTCGCTCTTACTCTCCCTCTCCCTACCCCTCCCCCCTCTCCCTACCCCTTCCCCCTCTCCCTCAACACCCACACCCCTCTTCACCCCCCTCCCCTCCACCCCTCTTTTTCCCCCTCTCCTCAACATCCTCCCTCTCCCCCCCCCTCTCATCCCGAAAATCTGTGTCAGCTGACCGGGATGCTAAACAGACAGGCTCGGCGACCAGTCCAGTTCCGCCGACCAGGTTTTAGAAAGGCACAGGAGACGAGACGAGGCGAGGCGATGGAGAGACGAAGTCGACGCCAACCTCGCCTGACCTTGTGTCGCTCGGAGGGACCAGGGGCGAGAGGGGAATGGAGGGGGGGGGGAGGGGGAGGGAGAAGGGGAGAGGGGAAGGAGAAGGGAGAGGGGAAGGGAAGGGGGAAGGGGAGGGAGAAGGAGAGGACAGAGGGGAGGGAGGGGAGGGGAGGGAGGAGAGAGAGAGAGAGAGAGAAAGGTAGAGTTAGAGGAGAGGAAATGAAGAGTTAAAAGGGGGATACAGGGAGGAGGAAAGGGGATGCGATAAGGGGGTGGAGGGGGAGGTGAGGAGGAGGAGGGGAGGGGGGAGGGGACATGAGATGTTGCTAGCCGCGGAGCCAAAAACGATAAAGGTTAATAGTATAGAACTGCATCTGAGGCCTTCAGATTTTTTTTTTTTTTTTTTCTAAGGTGACTGGAGTAGTAGGGTCGGTGTTCGGTTAGTCCGGTTCCCCGGTCTAAATGTCGACAATTTCGAAATTCGGAAGCTGGTTAAAAACTGATCTAAAAACGATAAGCGTCTGCAACTTAACCTTTGTATGTACTCATTAAGACCTTCTTTAATTGCTCAAAACTTTTTTTTTTAAGATGTCCCAAACGCCTTACCTTCGTCAGATCCGTCAGGGCAGTCGATGAAGCCGTCGCCAACGTTCTCCAGAGACACGCATAGGGACGAGTTCGACCTGCACGGCTGTTCCGTCTCCGGGTCGCACCCCCATTCTGGGTACTCGCCTGGAAGGGAAAAAAACAACTAAATTAACAAATATAAAAAAAATAGGGACTCACAATAGATTACCTTTCACTGATAACTGCCGTTTCGGTCGCTGCGTTAACCATTTCAGTAGTTTTCAATCGGTGAAATAAAAGAGAGAGAGAACGGGGAGAGAAAAAAAAGTCAATGACATTGTTACACGCCTATCGTCTTTCACGTCGAGTCCGCCTCCCTCTCTCTCTCCTCCACCCACGCACGCCCACCTGTCTGTCACCTGTCTCCCTAAACACCAGCAGGTTCTCTTAGCCTTCCATTACACGGTCTTTCATCAATACAACAATAAACAGCACAGAATAAGGGAAACACGAATAATTATTTGGTTTTCTTTTAATTCGGATACCTCTTCTTCTCTCTCTGTACTCTCTCTCTCTTCTCTCTCTCTCTCATCTCTCTCTCTCTCTCTCTCTCTCTCTCTCTCTCTTCTCTCTCTCTCTCTCTGTGCTCTCTCTCTCTCTCTCTCTCTCTCTCTTTTCATTTTTTTTTCTTTATTCCTTTCTCGTCTCGGATTTGCCATTTGGAAAAAGGCATTTTAAGTAGGAAAAGACAATAGAGATTAAGGACTTGATAACTAAACAAAACATAAGATAAAAATAAACGTAAACAAGTGAAAAGAAGAAATATTACCAAACAAGCGAACGACCTGTTACGACCTGTTTGCGCTCCATAACGGCCCGACATCAAGGCGAAGAGAAACACACAACGACCTTGACTTTTATTTGACTTTTTTTTTAGATATCGACCGAAGAAATTGTGACAATTGTGGGAAGAAACATCAGGTCAAATTTATTTCTTATTTCACATTCAAAATCGTGATATTATTTTTTTTCTTGACCATGAAAGAATTGGTAATAGAGAAAAAGTCGTATTAAAAAAGAAAAAAATCGTAACATTTCAAACAAACTTTTCGAGGTACAGTAAATATTGCATATGACTTTGTGTCACGCGTGTGTTCCAGATGCAATATCGTGGTTATGTCATTTCAGATTCAAGGAAAATAATTGTAGAGAAGGAGAAAGTGTGTGTGTGTTGTGTGTGTGTGTGTGTGTGTGTGTGTGTGTGTGTGTGTGTGTGTGTGTGTGTGTGTGTGTGTGTGTGTGTGAGTGGTGTGTGTGTGTGAAAGAGAGAGAGAGAGAGAGAGAGAGAGAGAGAGAGAGAGAAGAAGAAGAAGAAGAAGAAGAAGAAGAAGAAGAAGAAGAAGAAGAGAGAGAGAAGAGAAGACAGAGAGAGAGTCAGAGAGAGAAAAAGAAAACAAACAAAGAGAAAGAAAGGAATAAATGAATGAATAAAACCAGAGAAAAAAATGCACGTCCACCCATTCCGAGCCAACAATGACACAATCACTGTACATGCATTAAGATTGTAACATCTGCTTATATATACATACACGCAGCCACGCAGAAAATGCATGTAACCAGTTCGCATATTAAGAAGAGTAACCTAAATCTGGACAAACAATGACTTTGAAGTATGTAGAGAATTTTCTTGATGTATTTGCTTCGTTGTGAAGGGAAGAGAGAGGGAGAGAAAGAAAAAGAGATAGAAAGAGAACTTGTGTAAATATATATCATATCTCGTGCATGATTCAGGCAAAGCGATTGTGTGTCCAAGGATTGTCAGGCAGAAGATGATGGTAATGATGATGATTATGGTAATGGGGATGGTAACAATAATGGTAGTAATATAGTGAGATCATGTAACAATAACGAGAGTAATGATATCAATGGATATAATGATAATATTCACATGCATCAAAGAGCACATTGTGAAATCTACAAATATTGTGAGTTATGTAAAGACATTATATATTAATCTTTATAGAGAGAGAGACAGACGGACCAACAGACAGACAGATAGGCAGATAAATAGACATACAGACAGATAGACAGATAAGTAGACATACAGACAGATAGATAGATAGATTGACAGATAGACAGATAAGTAGACATACAGACAGATAGACAGATAGATTGACAGATATACAGATATAAATCGACACTGAAATGTTTATATTCCTATGCACATGAAACTTTTGAAAGTTGGAAAGGTATTGTTGTCATGAATGCATTTTTTTTCCCGTCATATTCACAGTAAACACGTAATTCTGTAGGTCAATAAAAGGTTAGAGCTTCTGAAATAACATTTGAAGGTTCGTTTCTTTTGTATTTTTTCCCAAAATTACATAAAATGAATTCAGTCAAACCGCATGTCCGCTTTTCTTTCTTTCTTTCTTTTTTACGTTTTTTTTTTCTTTCGTTTTTTTGGTTTGCGAATCGTGCACTTAACACGTGTTCTGTTTCCGAATATCAACTCCTAGTATTATGTAATTGTTCTCATTCATTCCACAGCGAAATATAATCATAAGACAAGTAAAATAATAAGATATTTCTTTCACCTAGCTTACGTTACAAGCATTGACAGGAATAAAGGAATAAAAATACGATAAATTTTTTTCATATCACTAGCGACATCTGGCATCTACAACTAAAGGTTACTGGGACGTGATGAGTAGGGAGTTTAACCGATGAGTTGCCAATGCGTGGATTACCTGGCGTTATTTTTTTCCCGTGTCTTAATTGACTCGATTTATTTACGTCTTGGCATCCTAGGCCTTCCCTCGCCCCTACCCCCCTCCCCCCTAACCTGTTGCGTAATTTTTTGCATTGCAGTTGAATCTTCGACATAGTGTGTGTGTGTTTGTGTGTGTGTGTGTGTTGTGTGTGTGTGTGTGTGTGTGTGTGTGTGTGTGTGTGTGTGTGTGTGTGTGTGATGTGTGTGTTGTGTGCATAGCATGTATGCATGCATGGCATATTGCATTATATTAAATATGTATAATATATGTTTGTTATACATACATACATACATACATACATACATACATATTATACATATATATACATATATATATAATATATAATTATATTATATATTATTATTATTGTATATGGTGTTGTATGTATGTATGTGTATGTATGTAATCTGCATACATATATAAATATTTACATTAACAGAAGTAAAACAAATCGAGACAGAGATAGAAAGAGCTCGCAAAAAAAAAGGAATTCTGTTCAAAAATCGTGAGATCGGAATTTCCACTCTACGGGGCTCCGCTGACTTAACCTAAAGAACGCAGCTCACGACCTAAAAGGAAGATCAAAGTCCCAAATAAAAATGAAGAGAGAGAGAGAGAGAGGGAAGGAGAGGGAGAGAGAAGGGAGGGAGAGGGAGAGAGAGGGAGGGAAGGAGGGGAGGGAGGGAGGTGGTGGGGGGGGAGGGAGGGAGGGAGAGGAAGGGAGGGAGGATGGAGGGAGAGAGAGAGAGAGAGGAGAGAAGAGAGAGAGAGGAGAGAGAGAGAGAGAGAGAGAGAGAGAGAGAGAGAGAGAGAGAGAGAGAGAGAGAGAGGAGAGAGAGAGAGAGGAGAAAGAGAGAGAGAGAAAGAAAAAGAGAAAGAGACAGACAACCTGACAGAGACAGAGAGAGAGAGACAAAAACAAATATAAAGACACGGAGACAGAGAGAGAGAAAAAAAGAAAAACAAATCTTAAAGAAAAAGAATTATGCTTGAAGATTCGAGCGACGGTCACTCGGTTTGTTCCATCGGCCGTGTGATTTGGCGATCTGAACAACACGAGTTTATTTATCTATTTTTCTTTCTTTATTATTCACTTTTTATTATTACCTTCTTCTTTTTTGTAATATTACTGTTTATCTTTTTTTAATTTCTTTATTATTTACTTTATTATTACCTTCTTCTTTTTTGTAATATTACTGTTTATCTTTTTTTTTTAATTTTCTTTATTATTTACTTTTTTATTATTACCTTCTTCTTTTTTAATATTACTGTTTATCTTTTTTTATTTTCTTTATTATTTACTTTTTTATTACCTTCTTCTTTTTTGTAATATTACTGTTTATCTTTTTTTTTTTAATTTTCTTTATTATTTACTTTTTATTACCTTCTTCTTTTTTTGTAATTATTATGTTTATCTTTTTTTTGTGTGTGTGAAATTGACACAATTCCTAATTCACCTTGGAAACTCGCCTTTTTTGGAACCGGTCGGACAAGGTTTAGCAATTTTTTATCTATTATATTTTTTAGACAAAAAAAATCAGTTCAGTAGTAGCTTCGTAATGATTGGCTTAGACACACACACACACACACACACACATATTTATGTATATGAATGTATATGAATATAAATATGAATTATATGTGCGTATATGTTGTGTGTGTGTGTGTGTGTGTGTGTGTGTGTGTGTGTGTGTGTGTGTGTGTGTGTGTGTGTGTGTGTGTGTGTGTGTGTGTGTGTGTGTGTGTGTGTGTGTGTGTGTGTGTGTGTGTGTGTGTGTGTGTGTGTGTGTGTGTGAGAGAGAGAGAGAGAGAGGGAGAGAGAATTGAATCAGCATCTCCCGACTTGCAAGCATAATGGCGAAGTAGACCGCTGTGTCGAAAAAGTTGGTACAGCCTGAACGAACAGGTCGACGGCTCCTTTGACGTAACTGTGCCCATCCCTCTCTCTCTGTGTCTGTCTGTCTGTCTCTCTCTCCCTCTCTCTCTCTCTCTCTCTCTTCTCTCTCTCTCTCTCTCTCTCTATGTGTGTGTGTGTGTGTGTGTGTGCGTGTGTGTCTCACTCCTTTCTCTCTCTTATTCCCTTTCTCTATCTTTTCCTCTCCCCTTGCTTTTCTCTGTATCTCTTTCCTTCCCCATTCCCTTTTTCCTCTCTCCTTCCTCTTCCATTCCCTTTCTCGCTCCCTACCCCCGCCCCAATCCTTCCTCCTTTCACCCTCCCCCCCTCAAACCATCCTCCTCCCCCCATCTCACCTTCTAATCCACTCCTCACTCCCTCCTCCTCCTTTTTCCCTCCCCCCATCTCACCCCCTAATCTCACTCCTCCTTTTTCCCTTCTCCCTCCTCCCTCCTCTTTTTTCCCTCCTCCCTCCTCCTTTTTCCCTCCTCCCTCCT